TTAACATGAAATGAAAATTTGGATTTATATATTTAAAACCAAACAATATTTTTTTATTTTTATTGATTACTGATTAATACCTCTAAGCAAACACCCTTAGTAACTTTTGAAACGAATATCATTTTCAATCATCTGATACTATTTAATAATTAACTAGAATTTGTATTGTACCCAAGTGGCAAATAAATAGGGATAGGTAAATTATGGTCGTTTATCAAACACTTACCCAATAGACGTTTATCGGTAAAATTTAAGACTATTATTTACTTATCAGGTAAGATTTTAGTCCACCAAAACGGTATCATATGCAAAAATTTACCCGGTAAGCGCTTACCATAGTAAGAGTTGTTGTCCTCACTTACCGGGTAAGACTCTTGGTCATTTTCTCGCTCTTACCGGGTAAGATTTTTGGTTTTTAACATATTCATCCGGTAAGGTAATGTAACTTGATGTCCACTTACCCGAGTAAACGTTTAATAAACGGTCTCTTAGTTAATTAAATAATTATGCAGTTACGTGATCAAATAACCACCTAAAAACAATCAACAACAGGTCCGTATCAAGGGAGGGTTGGTCTTGGTCGTGTATGTATATACGAAACACAATAAATAAGAGCTTAAATGTTATTAGTATATAATATTAGTTAAAAATTTAATAAATAAAATAATCAAAATATTTTTTATTATTTAATAGAACCCAAAATTAAAAATATATCTAATATTATATAAAGGACTCAAACATTAGAGTTGATCATTTGCGAGTTTGGTTAGGGTCTGAGTTCAGTCTAACATATTTTTTTTCTTGTCCAACGGGTTTGTATGAATGCACTCGCTAAGCTCTGCAATCAACGAAACATTTTTTCTGATCTCGAGAAGACTAGCAAAACCCTTCATAAATACTTGTCTAATCTGAACCTTTTTTACATGGGCTTGAAAACTTGTCCATACCCATTACCCGCCTTATAAATGAGTAGGACTTGCCCACAGGCTAGTGGGCCTAAAGATCTTTTTATATTTATAAGAAAACAAAAACATGTATCACAATTCACAAGTTATGTTAAATAATTCAAAGCATAACATTTATTTCAACTTAAAATTAGACGTAAATAAATAACAATTGACATAATTTGGAAAAAAAATATGGAGTATTGATAAAGGAAATCGCCAAATGAGATAAATAAGGAATTTATCAATCAAGGTGATTATGTTTTAAATTTTTAGATTTTTAAAGAATGTTATTATCATCATAAGTAAGTGGGAATTGATAAGTAACGAGAATTTGCAATTTTATTTTTTAAATTTTAGTTTTAAAAATTAATTATTATAAAAACACTAATGGGTCGGACGGGCCTGTCTAAACAATCTAATCGCTCATGTCCACCCATTAATTTTAACAAATCAGTTCGAGTCAACCTATTTTTTCAAAAATGGTAATCCAATCCCGCTTTTCTAATGAGTCATTATGCCCGTAAACAACTCTACCAAACATATATTAATTAATTAAATTGGAAAAGAAAAAATGTAAAAAAATTAATTGATCGTTAATTTATAGTGTAGTTTATTATTTTTCTAAGTTTTTTATCTAGTACCAAAGTATAAACTATTTTTCTAGAAAACATTGATGTATTTTTCATCATATATCTCCCATCATATGGACTCTTTTGTCTATTTTCATTCACATGAATTCTACTTTTTTATTAGAATAGAGTAAATTTCTTGTATTAATTAATAAAAATTCTATCTTTTGAAGAAAAAAGATATTGACTATATGAGACGGTCCAACTTATATTTATATTTAGGATTGTAAAAATACCCTTAACTTTTCAAACATTATTGACTCTTTATTACTAGCTAATATTGAGTACATAAATCATGATTACTCTTTTATCTCTAAAACAAGAATAAGGTACCAACTATCAAGCTGTAACCAACATGGGTTTTTTATTTTAAGATTGATGGTTTCAAAATGACATTTTTTAGCCTAAATGTTTAAAATGGTGATAAAAAAGATTAATATGAGGTGAGATGGAAATCCAACTGATCTATATTGATTATATAGATTGTTGCTCTGAACATTCAACTTATCAAAATCCACTTTTACATCTCATTTGGTACCTATAAAATGTTAGGAACAAACCTAACCATTAAGTAATTAGTAAAAAAAAACCTTTACTAATAAATAATTAAACAAAAATAAAACCAATGAAAAAGACATGGGTGTTGGAGGTCTCAAGTTCAAACCCAAGGAAGAATAAAAATCCTCTTGTGGTTATGGAGGTTCAAATGTTGTAACTCCGGGCAACCCGCAAAAACAGGTGGTCGTCATGAGATAAGTCGGCTTGCATAACGAGTTGGATATTCAGATTAATTAAAAAAAATCTTCTAATTGAAGAATTACGAAAACACCCTACAAAAAGAAAGATGCACCCCCAAAAGTAAAGAAATACAATACAAAAGTAACAAGCAAAATGCAGTTGATAATCGAATGATGGTAATATGATTTAGGCTTATTATAATCCGTAATGAAAGGGGGATGATCCCTTGGAGATTGCAACCGCCTTAGTGTACCTTTTAAATCATTGTTAACCTACTCCAAATCTGGGTTTCATTCGCATAATGTTTTTGGATAGAATGAAATATGTTAAAGAAATTTGACTTGAAAGAAATTGGAATAGAATGTTATCAGGTTTGACCATCTATTTGGTTGACAAACATTGGAATGAAATTTGTTAAGAAATTGAAATCTGTTTGTTAGTTTCACATAATGTAGCTTTAGAATTGAAATGAAATATTGGTAAATGACGAAAATGCCCTCTTTTGATTTTTTTTTTTTAAACTAAAAATACTTTAATAAAATAATTATTTAATATGTAAAACAATATAAAATACACAAACCAAATATAACCATAAACCAAACGATGTTACTAAATCAAGGATGGTCAGCGGTGGTTCAGATCAATGGTGGTCCACGGTGGTTCAAATCGGTAGTGATTCATAGTGGTTCAGATCAATGGTGGTCCACGGTGGTCCAAATGGAGGTGGTCAATGGTTGTTTAAATTGTTGGTGGTTGGCGATGATTCAGATCGGTGGTAGTCACCGGTGGTCAGCAGTAGTTCAGATCGACGGTGGTCCTGATGCTTCAGGTGGTGATGGTCGGGTGTGGTTCAAATCGACGGTGGTTCAGATCGGCAATGGATCAAATCGGTGGTTGATCAGATCAGTGATAGTCGGCGGTGATTCAGATCGGTAGTAGTTGGCGGTGGTTCAGATCGATGTTGGTCCATGGTGGTTCAGATGGCGATGGTCGACAATGGCCATTTCTTGAAGTCTCTCTTCTGGTTTAAAATATTGGGACGAGGTGGATGGTTATGGGGTCTCATAGATCAAACTTTGCTTTTCCAAAATTAAAGTAAGGAGTGACAAATATGAAGATAAGAGCTTATGTTCGTTTAGATTAGTGGTGGTCCATGGTGGTTCAGATTGACGGTAAATCAGATCAGTGGTGGTTCATATCGACCGTGATCGCCGGTGGTTCAGATTGATAGTGGTTCAAATCGATGGTGGTGGTCCATGGTGGTTCAGATGGCAGTGATTGGCGATGGTTCAGATCGACAGTGGTTTATATCGGCGGTGGTTTAGATCAGTAGTGGTCGGCGGTGGTTCAGATCGGAGGTGGTCGGTAGTGGTTCAGATCGGTGGTGTCGGTGGTGGTTCAGATCGATGGTCGGCGGTGGTGGTGGTCGGCACTTCAGATCAATGATAGTCGGTGGTGGTGGTCAACAGTGGTTCAGATAGTGATAGTCGGTGGTGGTTCAGAAGGCGGTGATTCAGATCGACGGTGGTCGGTGGTGGTCATATTGGGTTCTATGAGATTGAGGTATATTGGGTTAAAGACATATTTGATATTATCAAAATAGATAATTTCATTCAATCAAAATACCATGTAGTTGTTAAGGAATATTAAATTCTTTTATTTGTGGAATTCGTAAGATTTTGAATATTTCTTTTGTAAAAAAGAATGAACCAAGCGAAAAATAAAATTTGGTCAATAAAATTCAACATTCCAATTCAATCAGATTTTTATAGAATCTGCAAACCAAATACCCCTTGATCAAGTTGTTAAATATTTATGTATTTTATTTTTTAATCGTCTAGTATTAATATCGGTTCAGGATGCCCATATCCCGCATAAGAATCTATGTGGTGATAGGTAGTTGATATAATTGATGTCACGTTCACGAAATTGACTCCAAAAGTTACTTTTAAACATTATAATAAAAAATCATGTTATACACCTTTTACAAGTTTGAAGATGATTACAAACATATTTATGAAACAATATTTACATAAAATATAATATAAGGTTACAACATGATTTGCAAAGTTTTTAAAAACCATTAAAATATTAAGTAAATAAGAAGAGGGTATGTAAGAAAATCACTTTTATTTACAAAATATTAGAATTTAATGGTACAGGAAAAAAAGATTTTACGTTAAGTTTAAAAACACTCATATCATACCGGTACAATAATAGTATAATCTTCATCGATCATGTAAGTCATGTTGTATGGCAAGGTGGATCGGGGCATATTTGGTCCCGAGTTCATGCCTCTTTAAAATGATGAAATTAACTTCAAAAAAATTGTTTGAAATAACTGTTAGTTAGACGTCATTATTATTTTTTGAATCGATATTTAATTTCACTAACGAAAGAGTATGTACTTGTCTCATTAATTCTAAATTAAATGTGTGGTTCACCCTTTTCATTTGTTCTCGTACAAAGATCGTTCTCCTTTGCCATCAATAACCATTGCAGTTGTATATTTTTCATGTTCTAATTATATGATTTCCGTTTATCGTTCATTAATTACTGTCATCTCATTTTATAATACTTAAAACACACACACACACACATATATATATATATATATATATAGCTTATATTATATCTCATCAATGATATATTTTCCACTTGGGAATGTATCTTAAACTCACAATATGACAAGTGCATCCAAATATGCTTGTATTGTATTGATATGTCACAGTCTTACATAAGGGTGGTCTTTATGATCATAAATTCATGACAATGGAATACGTATAACACAACAAAAGTCTTTGATGACTCGTTAATAACAGAAAAAGTACAAGTTTGAGCCCTAAATTTAACCAAAAATAGAAAAAAGAAGGTTTGAAATTGCAGGATTGCAGATTCTAAGAGATTGGAAGAGGAACACCATTCCAGCCCTCAACACATTCCAGCAATGGATCGATGATTTGGCCTTTGCACATTGCTGTAAACACCTTATCAAACTCCTCCCCTGGTGAAGTCACCTTCTCACCTGTCAAGAATCCAGTTCCAAGCTCTTCCCTAACAAACCTGTATAATGGGTATGATCTGCAAGCTTTGATCCTGTTTGGGATTGCCAATGTACCATCTTCGTAAGAAGTTCTAACACCTTCGACTTCTTTGGGCAAGATGGCTTTCAGTTCGTCTTCAAAAGCACCGATCTTTTGGAAGATTGAGGTGCTGGTATTCTTCTCGGTTTCGCCGTTGTTTAAGGCGTGATCGACCAGAACTTGTCGGAGCTTCTGCATCAAAGGATAAGTGGCGCTGCAAGGGTCGTCGATGTATGCAAAGACGTACTCTCTATCGACTACTCGAAGTAAGTCCTTTTCGCAGAACCTAGAGGGGTGGAGCTCGCCGTTCACTCCCATGGTTAGGACCTTTTTGGCTACTTGGCTCACGGTGTTCTTTACTGTGGATCTCATGTTTTCTTCCAAATATCTCAAGTCGATGGATTGGCATAGAGCCACCAAGAATGAAGTTGACATGAGCTTCAAGATTTCAACGGCTTCGGATGTTTTTCTTGCTGAAATCAATCCCAAAGAGTTCACATCTTGGTTGTGTTGTTCGGCACTTTGAACATGGTTAGTCACCGGATTGGCAAGAAACTGGAGTTCGGAACAGTAAGAAGCCATGGCGATTTCTGCTCCTTTGAACCCGTAATCCAAGCTGGGGTTCCGTCCGCCGGAAAGATTTGAAGGTAACCCATTGTTGTAGAAGTCGTTTACGAGCTCTGAAAATTGAGCAAACATGAGTTTTCCGATGGAGGCAATTGCTAAACGTGTGTTGTCCATGGAAACTCCGATGGGAGTTCCTTGGAAGTTTCCTCCGTGTAAGGCCTTGTTCCTGGCAACGTCGATCAAAGGGTTATCGTTGACGGAGTTGATCTCTCTTTCGATCATTTTCGTTGACGATCGGATAACCTCAATATGTGGCCCAAGCCATTGGGGTGAGGTCCTTAGAGCATATCGGTCTTGCTTAGGTTTCTGCAAAGGATCCATTTCATGGAGCTTCTGAGCTGCCTTAACATAGTCACTTCCGTCTAAAATGTATTCCATTATCGCAGCAGCCTCGATCTGGCCTGGGTGATGCTTCAATTTGTGTGTTAAGTGGTCTGTAAACTCCGGCTTCCCTTGCATAACCTCGGCAAAAATGGCSGACAAGACTTCCGAYAACARTGCMAGCACATTGGCTTCRAAAAGGACCATGGARGCCATMCCAGATCCGACGGCGGTRCCATTCACAAGTGCTAGACCTTCTTTAGGCTGTAGCTCGAAGAAGCCACCAGAGACACCGGCGAGGCTGAAGGCCTTTTCGGCATTGAGGATTTCTCCGTTGGGACCAACAGCTTTGGAGTTGGGACGACCGGTGAGAAGTCCGGCAATGTAGGACAAGGGAACAAGGTCGCCGGAGGCGGTGATGGTGCCACGGAGAGGTAAACAAGGGGTGACGTTGGTGTTGAGGAACTTGGTGATGGCCTCCAAGATCTCGAAACGGATGCCGGAGTAACCCTGGAGGAGGGTGTTGATTCTTACTAGCATGGCTGCTCTTGTTGCTGAATGTGGAAGGGTGTGGCATGATTCTGTGCCGTTGCCAAAGATTCCGGCGTTCAAAAATCTGAAATAGAAATACGAATTAGATTATTTGTTATGTTATGTTTGGTTTTAAATACACCTTGTTAAATATATTTTTCACCCATATATATATATATATATATATATATATATATATATATATATATATATATGGTCACTTTCATGTATACTTTCTTCAAAAGTTTGATTGTGACCACCCCTTTTATTTAATGCATGCATTTTTAGTTGCTTCACACATTATATGTTATATTTATTTATGATGATAATTTATGAATATCACTCAATCTACATCTACCTAACCCAATTCCTTTACTGATCAGCAATACTTTATATATATAATGTTTTTTTTCCATAATAAAACAACAAACTATTATAGTGGATAGGTTATCATTATCATAGTAGTTATAAAATACTCTTTCACCCCACCTACATTTTTGTATAATCACATGTGATTTGTCCGATTTAGTTTGTCACATTTGTCGTTTCATTAATTCATGTGCCAATATATGAAGCTGATTTTCATAATTTATAATTTTTAGATATTTTTTTATATGATTTGCAGATTATAGCATAAAAACACATATACTATATGTATAGGATAATAGCTAGTCGTATGTCTTTAAAAGATCAAACGTTTCCATAATAATTCAAGAGTTTTCATAATACAAGTCAAGCACATGATGATACAATGGTAACATTATTGACTTTTAAATTGGTAATCGTTTGGTTTAAAAACTGTATGTCTTTTTATTTAAAAATAAAGTAAATTAATTTAGAATTTAGATTGAAATCTTATGAGGAATTTAATAATAATATTAACATTTATATAGTTATTGGAAATTCTAAATATTTTGTAGGAATCAATTATATTTAGTGGATTGAAGTTAAAGATTTTACCTAATGAGCTCCTTCTGAAGTGCCCCACCTTGCTTCGTCCGCCGGTGAGAGGTAGCTCCGAAGCCGGTGGTAACACCGTAACTATCAGTTCCTTTGCTCATGCTCTCCATCACCCAGTCACTACTGGCCTTCACCCCAGCCCTCGCCGCCTCCGACAGCTCCACTTTCACCACCGAACTGTCACCGGCAGCCGCGATTCCAGCCACCTGAGACACCGTCAGAGTCTCTCCTCCCAGCTTCACCACCGGCTTCCTGAACTCCGCAACCATTCTCTTCACCTCATCAAGATGGCTCCCCGTCATCGCCTCTGCTGCCACACCCCAGTTCAATGGGTCCTTATTAATGCAGAAATCGGTGGCCACTCCATTTACGTGCCCGTTGTTGTTCTCCATTTGTGATCGTGGTGTTTGTGTGTGTGTGTGTATGTATGTATGTATATGTATATATATATAGGTGGAGGAGAATTGGGAGAGATGATTGAATAATGGTGATGAGTAGAGGGTAGCTGAGGGTTGTGGTTTATATAGAAGGAAAGTGAGGTGTATAAACTCTAAAGAGATATGTTAGTAGGTAGGCACAAGAGAAGGCAAGTGGTGGTGGAAAGGTGGTGGGTTGGTTGAAGATTAATCACGTCCCTTCATTATATCTCATTACTCATCAATGGTGGAGATTATGACGATGGACAGGTGGGTACATTAGGAAACTCAAGAGAAGTAGTTGGCTTTATCTTCCTATTCAACGGCTGCAAATGTAAACAAGAGTGGTAGTTGGTGGGTGTTTTCCATTTTCATTTTTTCTTATATTATATATATAAATAGGAATGAACATGATTTCATGAAATTTATAATGTTACATTTTTACACTTGAAATTTTAAAACAAAATATTATAAAAGTAAAAAGTTTTGAATTTTTTTAGAAAAAAAACAATATAAAAATTAAATTTACAATATTTTGTTGTGAAGTTTCAAATATAAAATAATAAAATATAAATATTATAAAAATAAGTTGATGATCTCAAGTATATATATATATATATATATATATATAATTGAGATAGGTAGGGCATATAATAAGAGATATATAGTTGGAATTAGTGGTCAAAGTTCAAGAATTCGAGTATGTGATTGGTTGGCTGCATAAGCACCAAGACTATTTCTCTTATGGCGGATGAAATTTCCCACTCACTTCCTTGTAGTTTAATTTAACAAAGTAATAACAATTATGGAGTGAAACTGAAAAAACTTATAACAAGTCTTTTCCATTTTTGCTATGCGAAGTCGTCTTCTTTTTTCATCGTATTTTCTTATGTTTTCTTTTTATATCGTTTTTATTATTATTTTTTGTTTTAATTTTTCTTGAAAGCCAGCATATATTAATAAAAAAACAAGAAGATTCAAACTTTTATAAGAAACAAATACACACAATAACGTTTGGTGAAATAGACATGTCTGTGAAGATGCGGACTAATAACTACATATCAGAATTTATAAATTTTCGTTTTAATTTTATATTCATTTGTCAATTATTTTTTAGATAAATTACTAATATGCAATCAAAACGCAATGAAGATTGTTATATTAATTCAACGAGCTTTGTCGTGCTGAAGAGATATTAATTATACAATATATATCTCCTAATTTATATTTTAATCAAAAAAACATATATATATATATATAGAGAGAGAGAGAGAGGGAGAGAGTTTGTTTCAAATACAACTCGTTGCATTTGTACAACCAATGCAACCYAATAAATTGAGATATTTATGGAAATGATGAGAGTTTATTTATTATGATTTGAATATTTATAGAAGATGAATATGGTTCATTAATTATGATCAATACTTTATTTTAGAAAATAATCAAAACTTTTATGAAATTACATATTAATTAAATAAAATGGACGGTTGAGATTGAGTTGCATTGATTGCACAAATGTCA